TAAGCCTAAGCCTAAGCCTAAGCCTAAGCCTAAGCCTAAGCCTAAGCCTGAGCCTGAGCCTAAGCCTAAAGCCTAAGCCCCTGCTAAGCCTGAGCCTAAGCCTAAGCCCTAAGCCTAAGCCTGAGCCTAAGCCTGCCAAGCCTAAGCCTAAGCCTCCAAGCCTGAGCCTAAGCCTGAGCCTGAGCCTAAGCCCACAAGCCTAAGCCTAAGCCCAAGCCTAAGCCCAAGCCCAAGCCTCAAGCCTAAGCCTCCAAGCCTAAGCCCTGAGCCTAAGCCTAAAGCCCAAGCCTAAGCCTGAGCCTGTACTTTACAGGAAACTTTCACTTTGCTTAAACGTTAAAACATTAAAAACAAAACAAACAGAATTTCTACTTAAATTCTGCAAAATTAGCCATTTTGCAAAACGGTTTTAAAGCTTAGAAATAGATCTATTCAAAAATTTGGTCGAATAATTCCGAAATCGTAGAATGAAAATGAATGAAATGGAGTCTCGATCTTGAACTCATGCTCAGGCTTTCTCGATTCTTTAGGTTTTCACACTTAAGCAAGTTACCGGGTTGTTTACAGGCTTAAAAATAGAGAATTTTGGTACGAATACTGTGGTACAAACAATACAAAAAGCCCTAAATGTAGAAGAAAACCCAACAACCCAGGCCGACGGGGTTGGAAGCCTGCCTTTCGGACAAGCTCACGGCTAGCTCTCGACTCAAGATACAGGGCTTCGTAGCCAGCCGGCCATGACCGCTTAAAGATGCTGATCTCAATTAAGCTTTAGATAATTGATGGGAACACTGGATCCCCGCCTCGTCTATTCATCGAGAGCTAGATGGGGCGATTGTTGCACGGAGAATTCGCTTCTGTTCCCGTCTCTGCAAAGAACCCGCACCGTTTGCGTGAGAGTCGAAGTGTATGGTTGTCAATATCGAGGTAAATCTTGCAAACAACTTACTGTAAATACGGTAATTGAACCCCACCGCCCTCGTACAGTCGCGTAGTCGTACAGTCGCGTACAAAAGTTTTTTAGTATTTCATTTGTTTTTAAAGCGCCCATACTTTCAAAAATATGGTTTGGTATCAAAAAATAGCTGAAATTCAGGGCTATTTTTTGATACCAAAACGAACATTGTAGCATAAAACAGTCTCGAGAAAAACTCGTTCAAAGCTAGAATACGCAACGCTCTGCACCGTCATTACGGGGTGGGGTCCAATTTACAGTATTTACGGTAGCTCCAGAATGCTTAGTTCTATTCGGAAATTATTAGATTGAGTACTATTCGTTATTAGATTATTAGATTGAGTACTATGCATTGGTATGGCGATTTCTGTAGAAGCCATTAAAGGGCTAGCTTAGTTTTCATCAAATAAAAGTCGTTTATTTATCTCATCTCATTGTCTTTTCATTGTCACATATCTTTTTGAACAAATTTCGATTCATTTTGAGGCAATTAAGCAGAAATTTTAAGCAGAAATTGTTGTTAAATGAAATGAAATGGAATGAAAAGCGTTAAATGGTCAAAAAAATCAAAACCACTTAACAAAATAGGGTGAAATTTTGATTATAATCGTAACCTTTTATGCGCTATCTTTTGTGAAATCACATAAAAATCGATTTCTTTTGCTAAAAGTGCTAAAATTGGGCAAAGATTTGACTGCCAGAAGACTTTTCCTGCTTTGGATTTCTCAACTTTGCTTGCTCAATGAAAACCGGAAGGATTTTAAACACGTTAAAAGCTACTTTTAGAAGATCTATAGAGCTTTTAAATGGAAATAAATTGAAGCTAAGAAAAGCTGTAAGTTAATTCAAGTATTAGTTGTTTCTAAAAAGAGTAAAGAGTAAGAAGAGCTAATAAAAAAAAGAAATTCCTTTGGATCTTTAGACCTTTAGATCTTTAAACCTTTAGATCTTTAAACCTTTAGACCTTTAGATTCCTTTTGACTATAAACTATTTAGGTGACTTGGTCTCTTACTCGATTCCCGAAGGAACAATTGCTGACGGACTTTCACTCAAAGATTTTCACTATGATGGGAAAATCAGTCCATCAAATCATCTTCTCGGTGGAATTGGGAAACTATATGATGGGAAAGTTGGGGAAAACGATTTTGAAAAGAAGCCGAATGGATGGATTGCGTGGAAGAATGAAGGTTTTTGAACAATACTTGATTTTTATAATCAAATCGGAGCTAAAGAGCAAAAGAATTGGCGGCAAGAGGAGTCGAACCAGCGACCTCTCTCTTTCGTTCGCTTTAGAGACGCGCGTGTTAGCCACTCGGCCATGCGCTCTTATCCGCTCGCTGATCGGCTTAGGCTTTTATCTGCTCGCTGATCGGTCATGCTAGTTAATCACTTAATCATGCTCGCCGACCAGAAGGCCTTGCTGGCTCAGTGCGAGCACTCTTGTCTCTAGCCCACACGACCCGGGTTCGACTCCCGCCGGCGTCAACATTTTTAGTTTTTTAGGAATTTAGAAACTTATTGCATAACTACATGGAATTATAAGTCAAACTAACTATAAGTTATTTGAAAAGGCCTACTGGACAGCCAAATATTGTACCAGATAGCCAGACGCCTACTGGACAGCGAGATATTGTACCAGATAGCCAGACGCCTACTGGACAGCTAGATATTGTACCAGATAGCCTACTGGACAGCCAGATATTCTACCAGACGCCAGCTCTTTTATATCATTGATTCAGGAAAACCGATCGAAATGAACTTCACTTTCGTGGAGCAGATGAACTTTTCGGCGATCCTCTTCCACACAAGCAATCACTTCAAAATGGGTGCCGAGGTTGGTTGGGTGATTGGGTTTTGTAAGCTGTAAACTGAGATGTAAACCCATCATTATCCCGTTTAAAGGCTCAATTTTCCCCAAAAACTATCGAAATTTTAACAAATTTTAACAATAATAGTTAAATTCTAGACTTTCTCCGAAGCAAGCATTCGTTTTTCTCAAAATGGAAACCATTTCTCATCAAGAAAAGTCCATTTCACCTATCATGCCGATCGTCAATCTCGACACCGCCTCGATGGATTCGCATACCAATTCAAAGCCGGATTGCGAAATTTCTGCAAGTAAACAAAGTTTTCAAGACTTAACAATCTTTGACTATAAATACAATACAGTTGGAACTGGGGCAGATCAAAAGTTTAGTGCACCGCCAGGACTCGAACCTGGAGTTCTGGCGGTCGAGTCCTGGACTCGACCTTCCGCATACAGGTAACTGTGCTAACCATTGCACCACAACACACTTAATCTCTCTTACTCCAGAGAGGGTTAACCTCCAGAGAGGAGGGAAGTTAACTCGCTGTGGAGTACGGGAGATCAACTGCGTTGTGGTGTAATGGTTAGCACAGGTAAGCGAAAGGTCGCGGGTTCGAGTCCCGGCGCGCACAAACTTTTGATCTGCCCCGGTTCCAATTGTACAATATAAAACAATACAATACAATACAATACGTGATACAAGCCAAGACAATACAATCAATACAATCAATACAATACAATCAATACAATCAATACAATACAATACAAGACAAGACAAGACAAGATAAGACAAGACAAGACAAGACACGACACGACAAGGCCAAGATAAGCATAAGATAAGACAAGGATTAAGACAACAGGATGTGTTAAAACATAAGGTGACCCCATAAATTCAATTTAGATTCAACTTCAACCATCCCCTAGCCTCCCAGTGGTTGTTGCTATCGGAAGTTGAATTCGATTTGGAATGGTGACGTTCTAAGGGGAGGACACAAGCGCTCCATATGAACATGTTGAGGTTTATAAACTCTGAGTTTAACATTGAATTCTCCTAGATTCAGCACAATGGAAATACGGTGACACTTTTATGCGGTGGATGGACAATGATCAGAGTACGCTGTTTGGGTTTTTTGGGTAAGTCGGATCATTTAGACATATAAATTGCAGCTCGCTCAAACTTACCGGACTCTAAAACAAAAGGAAGGGATCGAAACCGTACAAAAATTCGGGGACTCGTTTCCGGAAAACAAGACACTGATCCACTAGACCACGAGGTCACGTTTCGAGGCGATGAAAGACGCCCTCGAAAAAGGCCTTATATTAAAGAAGAGACTGTTTGACCACCAATTCGACCTTTAAAGCCAGGGTCGACCTGTATAACGCTTCTTTTCACCCCTCGAGCTGTGAGCGTGTGGTAAGTGGATAAGAAAGTCTAGTTTCCTGCCAATCCAACTGATTTTTTTGCTCGGGTTCGATTCTTTCCCTTTTTCATTTATTTTGATGTTTAACCGCTCGAATTCGCTGTAATCTCGCTGTACTTCGCTTGTCTGAAACTGATTTGCTAATCTCCCATTTCAGCTTCTCTCTATCAGCCTCCTCGGCTCATTTTGTCCTCGCTGTTATAAGTGTCTGCCGCTGAGAGTTTCGTTTCGACGACGCAGACCACCAGTGAAACCAATTCCTTCACCGGCTTTCCTCAAAAGCATCCACAACATAAATTTGATGATGGACGGATCGACGATCAAGGTAAAAGATTTTATGAAAAGCTTATCTATTGAAAAGCTTCAGCTATTCAATCTCAAGCTGTTCGCTATTGAATTCATTTCTTTCCAGCGCGTCTCTCCCTCTACTTATCAAATGCGATAAAGGATAACATGCACAACGCTTTCCTGGAAAAGATTCCAATTGATGGAGAATAAGGTGATCCAGATTCAGTGTAAGAAAACAAAAACTTGCTTTATTTGCTGGTACAGTCGATTCTCGATTTGACGACTCTGTCAGGACTAAGGAAAATAGAGTCGCCATAGCAAAGATCGTCATAAAGAAGCAAGAAAGTAAAGAAAGAAGTAAGAGTAAGCCACAAGTATGTGTCGTTATATCGAAATAAGTCGTTAAATCGAGAGTCGACTGTAATTCGTTTTGAGTTTCCATTTTGCCATTGTGAAGCTGTTTACAGAAAAAGTTATTAAAAGAATCCCTTTCTAGAAGAAAATATTGTGTCAAAAGTGTCAAAAGGCGGATCGTCTGAAAGCAGCCGTCTGAGCCATTCAAGAGCTTATAAAATGAGTTGTATGATTCCAATCGAAAAGCTCTTTGCAGTTAAATGTAGCCAAGATCAAGGGCTTTATTTTCCCATATAACACTGGGCACTTTGGCAAAAGCCAGTAAGCCAGCAACTTTTCCAATAGATCGTCGGAAAGAGGCCGACTTGGAGCCATTGAAGAGCTTGGAAAATGAGTTGTATGATTCCAATCGAAAAGCTCTTTGCAGTTAAATGTAGCCAAGATCAAGGACTTTATTTTCTCCCTAGGTAACATTTGGCACTTTTGGCAAAAAGCCAGCAACTTTCCACCCTCTTTTATTCAACCCATCCACTTTTCAGCTCCACCGAGTGTGGTTCTCGAATGCCTCTTGGGCCGCATATCAGACGCAAATTATTCAAAATCGTTGATGTTGACGAGTCGTTCTCGTGCTCTTCTATCCTTGCAGCATCTCTTTAAAAGGTCACCTTAATTACGCGGATTATGGAGAAATCTACTATCACCAATCTCCACAAATCGATCCAGCACAACTGCAATTCGTTCCCGGAATTTGAAGGGTGTCAAATGAGAAATGTAAGTTCCAGGAATCAAACAAAGCAATCTTTCAACAAAGCAATCACTCTAAGCCTAAATAAAGCAGTAATTGTAGCCTGTAAACCTGTAAGTTATCTTTCTTAATCATTACAAACTTTTCCAAAAAGTTTAATGATTTGACAGAAATGTAAGCTCCAGGACGCTCAACTCTCACTCGATTCAGAACAAAGCAATAAATTCACGAACTAAGCTAGATAAAGTAGTGATTGCAGCCTGTCCAAATCTTTCTTCAATCATTAAACTTTTCCAGGTAAAGCTCTGTCAACTCGAGCGTCGCTTGGTTGTCGTGAAATCGTTGGAAGAAACTGAAGAAACGCGGAGAGAACTTCAATTTTTGGGATCTCTTAAGCATCCGAATGTTTTAGAGGTATAAAAAAGAAATAAATGAATAAAAGAAAAAGAAATAAGATATAAATCTTATAGAAAATCAAAATCAAAATCAAAATCAAAAGAAAATCAAGATTTTTTTAGATGATCGGAACCTCAACGGGGCAACCATTTTTCTGTGTTCTCGAATATGCCGAGAACGGTTCATTCACAATCGTATTTTCAGAAAATGGAGAGATTGGAGTGAGTTTAGCTTAATATTAAGCTTTGAATCATTGTTTCAATTAGTTTAGCTTATTTTCTTAACGTCAGAAAGCGAATTTGATAGTTGACTACCAATAAACCTATAGGAGCGCCGCGTAGTCTAAGTTTACTCTCAAACAAACCCTTATAACTCGACACCAGTACGTTTGTTTTTAGTCGTTTAGGTGTCAAATTAAAGTACAGAGAATGGGCGTTTTTTTTGAGATATAACACATAATATTAGCATTAATCAGCGCTTCGAAAGAAAGAATTGAAAAGTGGCAAAAACGACCGATCTTTCATCATTTTTTCTAACCACTGGTTAATGCTAAAAATCTGTGTTATATCTCAAAAAAAACCCATTCTCTGTACTTTAATTTGACACCTAAACGAATAAACAAACGTACTGGTCGAGTTATAAGTGTTTGTTTGAGAGTAAACTTAGACTACGCGGCACTCCTATAGGGTTTTCAATATTTAATGGGATTCAATTCACTCAATCCATCCACTCAATCCACTCAATCCATTCAATCCATTCAATCCACTCAATCCATTTTGAAAGAGCTTTCAAAATCGATTTCTTAAAAAATCATTATTCAAATGATCAAGAAAGCACTGAATTACAATTGTTTTCAATTGTTTTACAATTGTTATACGAAAAAGCGATTTATTGAAAGTCGATTATTAAATTACACCTGGGGCCTAATTATTTTCGTTTAATGATCAGAAATTCCCTACTATTTACCAGTTTTTAAATTTATGGCATATTCAAAATGTTGGAATCAGATTTCTAGTTATGATTCTTTCAAGAAAACTTAAGATATGTTTGTGAAAAACTTAATTTATCCGATCTCCATACCACAATGAGCACTTTCCACGGGCCTTTCTAGACAAAAATCAAACCGAAATGCAACAATTTTCAAAAAAAGTGACTTAAACTTGTTAAAGTACCGTATTTTCTCAATAGTAGTGCACCCAGAGCGTTGCCTAAATTGCTCGAAATCTCGAGAACCGCTCATCAGAACCTATCGATGTGGGGTCGGAAAATGTAGCTGCCGATGAGATCTAGTGGGGATTTGAGTGTTGAGCTTCTGTGAAAGCTTGGGAACTGTAAAATAGTCACCAACTCGGCTCTCCGGGGTGCACTACTATTATAGAAAATACGGTATATATTTTATACGTTTGTTTCTTTTTTAGCATTAGATTTGTACAAAACGAGCTTTAAACCTAGTATTGGTCCCCATAAATCTTGAACATTCTATATAAATTAACAAGAGAGTCGTATGACCGAGCGAGTTCTTCAAAATGGCGACATGCCAACAAATTCAAAGTACAGCCAGCAGTGCTTTGCGGACCTTCTACCATAATCCTTTGTAATTGCATCAGCTCTGTTCGATAAGCTGTTCAAAGCATCAAAGTTTCTTCTTTTAGTACAAAAACGGCTCTGAGTGCTGTGGTGGGAGTGGTGGCTGGTTTGTCATTCCTCGAGTCTCGTCAAATCATTCTCTCTCATCTCGCCACACACACATGTTTCGTCGATCGTGATGGAAACGTGAAAGTGGCAAGAATTGGTGGGTAGTTTGATTAGACACAACACAAAATAGACAAGTTGAGCCAAAGTATCAAAAGTCAAAACGAAAATTTTGAACTCAATTGTCCAACAATTGTAAACATTGCAATTGAAGGACTAGTAGGAGTTTTAAAATTCAAATTTGTAGCTCATTTTGCCAAATCAAATTATTCTATTGCACAAAAATATTCAATACAAACATTTACCAACTCAAAAGCAAGCACGAATCAATCGAAAATGAATTTTATGATCATTTATTTCACTCGAAACCATCTGAAGTCTCGTTTTCTAAATTGTCAACAAATTAAATGAAATCATTAATCAATTTGTATTTAAGCTGCTTACCGTATTCCATTAATTCCTCTCCAGAGATCGAACTTGACTGATCGAGCGACTGACTGTCCTAAAAAATTCAGTTTAAAAAAAAAAACACCAAAATGATTTCTTACTGATGGCAGTGCAAAGTCAATGTACTCGTCGGAAGTGTATGATGTCTAAAATAAAGAAATGATAAGTTTCAGACAGTCTTATTTCAATTACCCAACTCACTTAGCCAGAAAGTTTAAAGTTAAATGTACGACCATTAAGTTAAGTTCTAAACACTCAAAAGCACCCTCACCTCTGAACCGGTAAAGTTTCCCGACGTGGTGGAGGAATGGAGCGGGACAAGACGCTAAAAGGTTAAAAGTAGCTTTTAAATGGTAATCCTAAGGCCATTCATCAGGTCTTTTCAACTAAGAAACAATTTAGCTAGATAACTACTTACTTTTAGTTAACTAAAGGCCAAAGATTAGTTTGGATAGATACAGTAGATGCTAAAATTACCGTCTTTTCCCTAATAGTAGTGACAAAAAAAAATGAAGCCCCACCCACTCATCTTAGCGATAAAAAGTTGCACCAACTTGCGAACTTTCAACTAAAAATCTCTCTGAGAAAATCTCTTTTCAATCGCTTTTTGCGATTTCCATAAAATGACACCAAAATTGAGCTTATTGACTAAAGACTGGCCTAGAGTAAGTGCCTTTCTAGAGAACGACTTCTAATCGTCACTCGTAATTCTAATGTTTAATTCTAAAAACTAAACTCCAAATCTTAGTACCAAAACATTTGCAACACTCACCGCTTCACTCAAAGAACTTGGCGTTGCAAAGAAACCGGATGTATCGGTGAGAGAAACGGAAAGCGACGAGATACCCGAGAGGGTCTCATCATCCTAAAAACAAAAAAATAGACGTTCACTCAAGCCCTAAATGCCAAACTCTAAATGAAAACACAAAGCCCAAAACCCACTCGTTCAAATGCGTTCCCTCGGATGAAACGGGAAGCTTCCGAGTGATACTAAAATTCGGAACGAGTTCAGGCAATAAGACCAAGAAAAACCTTACCATTAGCAACCAGATTAACCAAAACCACGATAATCTGATGATTTACAAAGTCAAATGTTGACAAAAAGCAAAAATTTCCTCACCTCAAAACGGTTTTCCTCGAAAATCTCGCTAATAGAGTGATGGGGCCAAACTGGGTGACGACGAGAGCTAGAAAATGAAATATTTGAAATACTTGAATTTAATAGCTAAATAATATAAACTCTAAACTTATTTTGTATCAGTATTGAATTAGTAAAAAAGTCACGAAGTTCAACTTCTTTAGAAAATGACACTGTTGGCGTATAAAAGGCTCTTTGTTTGTACTTTAAACGCATAGAGGTAAACACACACGTGCTATTGCACTCAAATCGTGCTTTTTGAGAGGATCGAACCTTAGATTCAAGAAAATGTAAGAAATGACCGTGCCATAGAGGTATAAAGATATTAAAAACGCGCCGATTTGATTTGGCGTTTTTGTGCGTTTTAGTTGAAAGAGAATTGGTTAAGCGCAATTTATACGGCACGTACAAAAAGATTCAAAGACAATTGAGTAAAAGGGAACCGAGAGAAACGAAACAGACCCATTTTAGAAACTTAAACAGAAAACATGGGCAGAACAATATAACGGGAAAGGAATTTGGGGAGACAGATAACCTTAAAAGGGAATTTGGGGAGACAGATAACCTTAAAGCGCGCTACAAAAAGGAGAATCGATTTTACCGAAGGGGAAAGGAAACTTATGCGGGATTTGGCATAAAAAACCGGACAACATTCACGATTCCATCATGGAATGCAGAAAAATGAAAAATGGGGAGTGGGACAAATGCGACCTTTTTTCGCGTTTTAAAAAAGCTCTAAAAAAGCTAATATTAACCAATTTCTATTCCAAAAGTTGTTTTTCTAGGTAATTTTAGGGCGTAGAATCGAAATTTTGACATATCAGAGCTTGTGGAACCAATTTGAAAGACAAAACGGCTAGATCAAATTACAGAAAATTGTCGATTTTTCTCTTTGTATAACTCCGTCCGTTTGTTTCCACAAGCTCTGATATGTCAAAATTTCGATTCTACGCCCTAAAATTACCTAGAAAAACAACTTTTGGAATAGAAATTGGTTAATATTAGCTTTTTAGAGCTGTTTTAAAACGCGAAAAGAGGTGCGCTGGGCAAGGTGCGGAAAAAAGGGTGAGCAAATGTCCGGGTGCGCAAAAAAGGTCGCATTTGTCCCACTCCCCGGGATTCGGCATAAAAAACCGGACAACATTCACGATTCCATCATGGAATGCAGAAAAATGAAAAATGAAAAATGAAAAGAATGGCAAAGGAGGAATTTTGTGCGGGTTACGGTAGCGCATCCACGCTTTAGAAAGCGCGCCGATTTTGCGCCAGTTCCTTAACGTCAATAGAAATCTAACGTTATTGATAGATTTCAAATAGATATAAAGATGAATAGATAAAGAAATGTTTTAAAAACGATAAAATTCAAACTCACTTTGATTGAAACGATTGATTCATTTGGTGAAAAGGAGAAAGACGAAATTTGTTTTGAAAAAAGAATTCGAGAAAGAAATCCAGCCAATAAAGAATACAAAAATCGTATGAATGAAATTTTTTGGGAAAAGAAAATTGCAATCACAGTGAAAAGCACAAATGCAAATATAGAAATCTATATGGAAATTTTCCAGGTTGCTCTCCATCGTCACTCTTTGACGAGCCGTGTTGCAGCCGGGATGAGATGCTAAGATTTATGGCACCGGAAGCACAAAATCAGGTGAAAGCTGCACATTTTAAGCGAGATGCTTTACCCAGTTAGTACTAGTATAACTAAAATGTTACTTCTTAAATGTATGCTCAAATTTGAGGCAATGTTTTTGCACTTTAGGCTTTAGGCTCAAGGCTTTAGGCTGCACTTTAGGCTGCACTTTAGGCTCAAGGCTTTAGGCTGCACTTTAGGCTGCACTTTAGGCTCAAGGCTTTAGGCTGCACTTTAGGCTCAAGTGTAAAAGTGTTCTCAAGCGCTTTCTGATTAATCAATTTTTGAAACGACTCGTTAATTAAAAGAAAAAGTGTGCTAGAAAGGGTGCGTTGCTCTTTTTGTGCACAAAGTAAAGCCTTAGGAAATGAGAGGACAGTGTGTAGCTAGTCTAACCCAAGAAAAACTGCATTTCGAAATTCGACCTGGGCGCCGAGAAATGATGTGATGGACAGACAGACAGACAGACAGACAGACAGACTGCTCTTTTATATATAGTAGTTTTCAGCCTAACTGTCGGACCTAACTTTGGTATAGTTCAGTAATTCTTAGTTCTCCTTTTTGATCTAACTTCTTGAGTATTCAGAACGCACTTCTGATCTCAAAAACCACCTTAAACTGTTAGCTTACTGTTTTTCTCTAACTGACCCACTCTTATCTCTTAGAGATCTTGGAAATAAGAGCTAAGGATTGGAAAGCAAAGAATAAAAGCAAAAAAAAAGCAAACTTGTAGACAAAAACCCAGACTTGTAGATCTAAACACTGAAAAAAGGATCCAGAAAAGAAGTCTTTAATTGTCTGGCTTGGCAATGTCTGGCCAAAGTCTTAGGCCAAAGCCCAAAGCCCAAAGTCGTGACTTTGGATCGACTTAAGTTAAGCTAACTAAACCTAGCTAGGGAGATGCTTTAACTTAGCATCGATTTGGGATATGAGATCTAGCACAGAAACGTCACCTTGAAATCCGAAGAGATACGTGTTTTTCAGTTTTACTTCATAGCATTCTCCATAGCATTCAATTTTCGAGAAAAATCTGAAGTTTGGGCACTTTTTGGAAAAACGGCGTCACCGCGGGGGCCGAAATACTTTCCCCGGATCAGTGATCGAATGGTGTAGCGGATAGTGTGCTCGCCTCACGTCCCTGATTCCTGGTTGTCCCTGGTTCGAGTCCCCTCACTGTCAAAACCTTTTTTCTTTTTTGTTAAAGCACTATAATCAATTTTTAGGTGTTTTAAAACAGTAAGAAGTTAAATAAGTAAGAAGCTAAATAAGTAAGAAGCTAAATAAGTAACAAACTAAATAAGTAAGAAGCTAAGGTCCTAGAGAACAGTTTTTTTTAAAGCGTAGCTCTGAAAGAGCCTTTATATAGTAGAGAAGCAGACTATTAAGTTGCCAAAGTCTAAAATGCAGTCTCTTTGCCAAATCGACCTTCGTTTGACTTACGGTAGCTTATTTGAAGTCTATTTTATAGTCTAACAAAGAAACAAGTAGATATTTGTTGTAATTTGATTTAAATATCATCTATCTATCATCATTTCCAACTTTTCAGGACCTTCAAACGGCGGCGAGCAACGTTTGGTCGTTTGGTGGGCTGTGTTGGGAGGTGTTGGGTGGTTGCCGTGAGCGTGTCCCTCTTCCATCGCCCATTCCCCTTCCACCAGCTCTTCTTTCTCCGCCCGGTCTTCACGAGACTCTCCTCTCATTGTGCTTGTCTCGAAATCCACAAAATCGACCCACTTTCAGCTTTATTCATTTACAATTGCAAACTTTGTTGTCAGCTCATATCTAATCTCTAATAGTAAGCTCTATTCTTGAGGAGAAATTCTTGAGCAGAGATTCTTGAGCAGTAATTCTTGAGCAGTAATTCTTGAGCAGAGATTCTTGAGCAGTAATTCTTGAGCAGTAATTCTTGAGCAGTAATTCTTGAGCAGAAATTCTTGAGCAGTAATTCTTGAGTAGTAATTCTTGAGCAGTAATTCTTGAGTAGTAATCCCTGAGCAGTAATTCTTGAGTAGTAATCCCTGAGCAGTAATCCCTGAGCAGTAATTCTTGAGTAGTAATCCCTGAGCAGTAATTCTTGAGTAGTAATTCTTGAGTAGTAATTCTTGAGTAGTAATCCCTGAGCAGTAATCCCTGAGCAGTAATTCTTGAGTAGTAATTCTTGAGTAGTAATTCTTGAGTAGTAATCCCTGAGCAGTAATTCTTGAGTAGTAATTCTTGAGTAGTAATTCTTGAGTAGTAATCCCTGAGCAGTAATTCTTGAGTAGTAATTCTTGAGTAGTAATTCTTGAGTAGTAATCCCTGAGCAGTAATCCCTGAGCAGTAATTCTTGAGTAGTAATTCTTGAGTAGTAATCCCTGAGCAGTAATTCTTGAGTAGTAATTCTTGAGTAGTAATCCCTGAGCAGTAATTCTTGAGTAGTAATTCTTGAGTAGTAATCCCTGAGCAGTAATTCTTGAGTAGTAATTCTTGAGTAGTAATCCCTGAGCAGTAATTCTTGAGTAGTAATTCTTGAGTAGTAATTCTTGAGTAGTAATCCCTGAGCAGTAATTCTTGAGTAGTAATTCTTGAGTAGTAATCCCTGAGCAGTAATTCTTGAGTAGTAATTCTTGAGCAGTAATTCTTGAGTAATTTTTGTATGTGAACAATTGCTTGGTGCTTTTTCTATGCATTCATTGAAAAAACAGGTATTTTCTAATATCAGAAAATTTGCTTTAGACTACTTTTTTCGAAAGTGAACAAACTTTTGAAGTCTCCTCTCTATTGTGATACGATTTTTTTAGTTGTTGGAAAGATTTTTCAGTTAAATAAACGATTCTGAGCACGTAAATTCGAAACGAAAAGCACGTAAATTCGAGATTTTTATTATAAAATTCAGATGAAAATTATCCGCTACAAAATCCGCACGTCGCTGCGCAGTAGTTCGTTTTGTAGGTGGTTGTGTAATAAGATGAAGCACAGAAACCGTTTGTGTTCCAAGCGGCACAACTGAAAAAAGGAATGAGATTTTTGAAATTTAGATAATACATATTGAATAGTGAGCAATGAAATGGAGATTTTTATGTCAAGATTGAGGAAATGTTCGTTCGTGTTCGTTTACGTTTATCTGACAAGTCTTTGAAAAGCTCAAAACGTTCAAGTTCAAGCTCAAGTTCTTAAAGACAAGTCAGTTTAATGTACAAGCTATATTCTTAATTCCTTCTTCCTTCCAAAGCCAAGTTAAAGCACTAAAATCTTATTTTGAATCGAATCCGACCACATGACAGAATCCAATTCTATTGTCAGAATTCAATTCTATCTTCAGGATCCGATTGGATACGATCCTGACAACGAGCCTACGATCCTGACAACGGGTCCGAGCCCAGGACCCCCAGAGCTGGAGACCGGCGCGTTATCACCTCGGCCACACCTGCTCCTCCACGCCTCGAAAAATTTTCGTCTGCACGGACAGACGGACGGGCAGACAGCCCTCAATTATTATATATCGTAGATGTTCGGATTCTGTTGCCAGGATCGGATTCTGATGACAGAATCGGATTCTGTTGTCAGGGTAGGATTCTGTTGTCAGAATCGGATTCATGGTTAGGATCGGATCCAGGCAACAGAATCGGATTCTGTTGTGTGTTCGGATTCTGTCGTAATACATACACGCTTTGCATATCTCAATTTTCTGATATCTTCTGATCTTCTGATCAATCTTCAATTCTCTGATAGTAGATCTACTTCCTAAGATGGTTCTGGTAAGATCTTTAAGCAATACCAAAAAGCAATACCAAAAAGCAATTCCAAAAAGCAATTCCAAAAAGGCAATACCAAAAATAGATTTGGCAAACTTTAGTCTCTTGTAAGTCTCTCTTTAGTAAGTTGAGGGCTTGATGAGAAAAGCGGCTGCAAAGCTGGAAACTCACCTTGTACTGTTGTCTCTGCACGTGATTGGTGGTGGGGTTGATCCACAGAGGCCACAGCTAGCCGCACAGTATTGTTGTTTCTAAAGCTTAGAGTTTTTTTTTTGCCCAAGTTCTTAGGTAGGTAATTACCTAAGAACTTAGGCACCTACCTAAGAACGTCGTACACTTTCAATCTCAGCCTATTTCTGTGGTTTAACTCACTTGAGCGAAGGTGTACGTCGAAGTGCAGAAGCCGTTTGCCACCCAAGTTGTGCACTAAAGTTTGTAGATTTTCTCTTTTTCTAAAGATTGCTAAAAATACGTAGCCAGTGGGGCAGTAAAGTTACAAAAAAGTTTTTTTGAATAAAAAGAAACTCACTTGAGTGTAGGCATTGGTGCAAGTGGCCTGAAAAAAAATGGGTTTATTGGGAATGATCAACAAATGAAAGGAAACGCTATTGATATTATTGATTATTATTATTATTATTGATATACTAAAATAGCTGTAAAAACTTTTAGAAAAGAGATATCTCAAAACGGTTTTTACCAATCGATCCGTCTTGAATTCAGCTTTAGGATGAGCTATAAAACGTCAAAATTGGGACAAATTTAAGGTACTCTCCCAAAAAATCGGAAACGACTTTTCCATCAACAATTTTAAGCATCATTTCCATCAACAATTTTAAGCAATTTTTAAGCTTTTTAAGCACTAGTTGAATTTCTTCTCAGATTTTTGTTCTTAAGAGTGCAAACTAACAAGGGAAGGTCATAAAAACAGGATGGTCAATCGATGGCCAATCGAAATGTGATCTAAACCATCCGATGCAGAATTTGACGCTGTTTTCGAATTCATTTTTGCTTAAATAGGGAGAAAATTGACGTGAAAATTCGACAAATTTAAGGTACTCTCCCAAAAAATCGGAAATCTCCCAAAAAATCGGAAATCTTTTCCACCAACCCCAATAAATTACTAAATGATAAATTGCTAGAGTTGGACGCTGTTTCCCCGTTTGTATTCCTGGGCTCAGGTTTATGGGTAAATCTACAACAAGAACACACAACACAGTTCCACCACCCCAAGCACCGCTTTATTCACGGGCACACACAGAATTTTCGGAACCAAGTTCGCACTGTTGACTCGCCGACACTGCCTTGGCCCCAAAACGGTTTTTACCAATCGATCCGTCTTGAATTCAGCTTTAGGATGAGCTATAAAACGTCAAAATTCGACAAATTTAAGGTACTCTCCCAAAAAATCGGAAACGACTTTTCCATCAACCCAATGCTAACCCAATGCTAATGCTAATGCTAACGAAAATGCAAAAAAAGAGTCAACTAGAGCAAAGGTTTCCTCAAACTTTTGCAATATTTGATGATAAAATAATATGAAAAACAAACACTTGCTGCATAGCAACCATCGCTCGTTCCATCATTGTAACAGGTGCCACTTGTGCATACACCGTTGATCGCCGCTGAAACGTTTCTTTTTCTCGTATTTTTATTAGAAACACGAAAAAGGGTTTGTTTTCTCAAAATTAAAGGCTCAAAAATTAGCAAAATGTTTTGGGAGTTTTGAAATTTTGCAAGCCATTTTGCAATGAAAAAAAAAACACTTATTTCTGGTGGAATTGATTTAAAACTAACTCGATTTCTATCAGAATACTAAGAAAAGAATTTTTAATCAGCCAGAAAAGGTGCATTTCTCTTTTTAAGCTTAAAAGATGCATCTTTATGGATAACGGAGGGGATCGCGATTATTCAAGGGGGCGCGCAATTATTCGAGGAGGCGCACGATTATCCAATGGAGCGCGCGATTATCCAAAGGAGCGCACGATTATTCGAAGGGGCGCGCAATTATTTGAGAGGGCTCACGATCATCCGAGGGGGCGCTTGATTATTCGAGAGGGCGCGCGATTATTTAAGGGGGCGCGCAATTATTCGAGGGGGCGCGTGATTACCCAAAGAAGTGCGCAATTATCCAAAGAAGCGCGCGATTATTCGAAGGGGCGCATGATTATCCGAGGGGGCGCGTGATTATCCAAAGGAGCGCGCGATTATCCAAAGAAGCGCGCGATTATTCGAAGGGGCGCGCAATTATTTGAGAGGGCTCACGATCATCCGAGGGGGCGCTTGATTATTCGAGGGGCGCGCGATTATTCAAGGGGGCGCGCAATTATTCGAGGGGGCGCGTGATTACCCAAAGAAGTGCGCGATTATCCAAAGAAGTGCGCGATTATCCAAAGAAGCGCGCGATTATTCGAAGGGGCGCATGATTATCCGAGGGGCGCGTGATTATCCAAAGAAGTGCGCGATTATTCGAAGGGGCGCATGATTATCCGAGGGGGCGCGTGATTATCCAAAGAAGTGCGCGATTATCCAAAGAAGTGCGCGATTATTCGAAGGGGCGCATGATTATCCGAGGGGGCGCGTAATTATCCAAAGAAGTGCGCGATTATTCGAAGGGGCGCATGATTATCCGAGGGGGCGCGTGATTATCCAAAGAAGTGCGCGATTATCCAAAGAAGTGCGCGATTATCCAAAGAAGTGCGCGATTATTCGAAGGGGCGCATGATTATTTGAGAGGGCGCACGATTATCCAAAGAAGTGCGCGATTATTCGAAGGGGCGCATGATTATTTGAGAGGGCGCACGATTATCCAAAGAAGTGCGCGATTATTCGAAGGGGCGCATGATTATTTGAGAGGGCGCACGATTATCCAAAGGGGCGCGCGATTATCCAAAGGAGCGCGCGATTATCCAAAGAAGCGCGCGATTATTCGAGGGAGCATGCAATTGTCCGAGGGGGTGCATGATTATCCGAGGGCGCGCATGATTATTCGAGGGGGCGCATGATTGTACAAAGGAGCGCGCGATTATTCGAGCGGGCGCGCAATTATTCGAGGGAGCGCACGACTATCCAAAGGAGCTCGCAATTCTTCGAGGTTTTTTGCCCAAAAAGTTTACAAATATTGGGGCATAAAAAGTCGCGATTGCCATTGACGATTTTATTCCTTGTTCACCACAACGTTCATTCTCTAGGCCAGTGACTGCAAGTAGCTGAAAGGAGTTTTCCAATGGGAATGCTGCAAGTGCTCTGGGAACAAGGCAAGGGATTAACAGAAAAGCTGCTGGTTGATAATTGGCTACGCGCGAGTCGGAATCCTGTGGCGACAATTGTGAAATTCATCAGACTTTGGTGCGATAATCAAATCACGATCAAGTATACAATGCTCAAGTTGATCAAGGAGACGGTTGTGGAATGGAACTACTATCTAGTCAAGTGTGTGGTTGAAAAGCTTCCAATCAAATGACAAAGCAAAGCAATGACAAGGAAAAGACAAAGACAAAGCAAGGTCAGGGGCTAATCGTTCGACGCTTAGACCCTGGCCTTGCTTTGTCTTTGTCTTTTGCTTGTCATTGCTTTGCCGCTTTGCTTAGTTGATTAAAGTTTGCTTGAGGAAAGGGAAAGCCACAAAGAACGAGTGCTTCCCGAGGCTTTTCGGGGGTATTCTTAAAATCTATCCAATTGAAAGCTTACGTCCTGTCGAAGACGAGGCAGCGATGGTTGAGGGTAGCGTGGGGCACACACACTGGCTCTGAAACGATTTGTAAGTAATAGATAAGTAATAGATAAGTAATATATAAGTAAGATATAAGTAATACTTACAATTATAACAATGTTAGCCTACTTACAGTCCATTTCCAGTACTATTCATAGCATATAATTCAGTTGGTCAATATTGTATTGTACAATAACCATTTTAGCCGATATTAGTTCTTGTCCTTTGTCCAGATTTGATCTCTAATATAGTATAGTAATAGTAGAGAACTAGTAAAGAACTAGTAAAGTAGGTAAGTTGTAGAATACTTGCAATTAGAACAGTTACAGTACCCCAATACAGTAAGTATAGTTAATAAAGTAGAATAGAACTAAAGTAGAGTTACTGTACTAAAGTAGACTAGAACTAAAGTAGACTAGAACTAAAGTAGACTAGAACTAAAGTAGAATAGTACTAAAATAGAATAGTACTAAAGTAGAATAGAACTAAAGTAGACTAGAACTAAAGTAGAATAGAACTAAAGTAGACTAGAACTAAAGTAGACTAGAACTAAAGTAGACTAGAACTAAAGTAGACTAGTACTAAAGTAGAATAGAACTAAAGTAGAATAGAACTAAAGTAGACTAGAACTAAAGTAGACTAGTACTAAAGTAGAATAGAACTAAAATAGAATAGTACTAAAGTAGACTAGAACTAAAGTAGAATAGTACTAAAATAGAATAGTACTAAAATAGAATAGTACTAAAGTACCCTCTAAAGTACGTTTAAACGATCTTGATTTGGATTTCGTTTCGTTTCGACCAAAAATGATATAAAAACCTTTCAATTTGAACAATTATCAAAAGTTTACTCATTTTTAAAAGCCCAATAAAGTTACCGTAATCTCACAAAGCTATTGTAGCCTTAAAAACTTCAAGGGGAAAGGGGGCGGGGCGCGTATAAAAGGTGTCCCACCTCCGCGCCCCCTTTGCCATTGGCAATCTAACTTTGAGCTCCAATACCTTGATGTTGGGCTGTTCAATTTAAATAGTTTTTATACCAATCGAAAGAGAAAGACCTGGTGAATCTAATGATACCAAGAAGCTTTAAATTGAACAGCCCAACACCAAGATATTTGAGCTCAAAGTTAGATTGCCAAAAAGGGGCAATTATATAAAGCACAATAAAGTTACCGTAATCTCACAAAGCTATTGTAGCCTTAAAAACTTCAAAAACTCTTGTAAAAACCCTCACCAATTGCACCAAACCAAAGAGTCCAAAAGCGAAAAGAAATACTTTTTCCATAGCTTGAAATCAAAGTTGAAATCGAATTGAATTGATCATTCTGAGGTCAAGTAAATTTGTTATATACTAGTTCCAAAAAAATGGGGAGGCTTATGAAAAAAAAAACTATAGTCACGGGAAATCTAATTATGAGGAATAGGCAGGAGGAAAAAAAAGGAAATGGCCACATCGGGACGCCTGTTCAAACAATTCGCGCACAAATTGTCCAAGACTTGTAACTGTTTTCATGTAAATTTAGCGCCGCTTTCGCATTGGAAACCTGAAAAAGTGACGAATTTTTGATGGATCAGCGACAAAGTTCAGCTAATACGTGGAGTTTTTAAACGGAAATTTGGGAGCAATGCTCGGCATCATTTTGATGGAAATGACGCATCTTTTACAGCGTGTACAAGAATTCTCTGAATAAAGTCGACTCTCAATACCTCGACTCTCAGCTCTCGATCTTGAAATTTTAAAGTATGCCCTTGTTTTCTGTGTGACTGCCCAGGTAAACGCAATCGTTGGCCCTTTTGGGCAGCTACGTACAAATTTGGGTCATGTTTTAGAGTCGTTAACCGTCGTTTAGAGTGGTTAACCGTCATTAAGAGTCGTTAACCGTCGTTTAGAGTGGTTAACCGTCGTTAAGAGTCGTTAACCGTCATTAAGAGTCGTTAACCGTCGTTTAGAGTGGTTAACCGTCGTTTAGAGTGGTTAACCGTCGTTAAGAGTCGTTAACCGTCATTAAGAGTCGTTAACCGTCGTTTAGAGTGGTTAACCGTCATTAAGAGTCGTTAACCGTCGTTTAGAGTGGTTAACCGTCGTTAAGAGTCGTTAACCGTCATTAAGAGTCGTTAACCGTCGTTTAGAGTGGTTAACCGTCGTTTAGAGTGGTTAACCGTCGTTAAGAGTCGTTAACCGTCATTAAGAGTCGTTAACCGTCGTTAAGAGTCGTTAACCGTCGTTTAGAGTGGTTAACCGTCGTTAAGAATCGTTAACCGTCGTGTAGAATCGTTAACCGTCATTAAGAGTCGTTAACCGTCGTTTAGAGTCGTTAACCCCAGTGAATCATTTAATCGACTGTACTTATTCCGAAAGTTCTTATTTATTCGCGTATTTATTCGTGCACTCTTCACTTGTGAATCTTAACACTATCCAATTTCCAACAAAGAAATCAACATTTCCATTGCATTTCCATTGCATTTCCATTGCATTTCCATTACATTTCCAACAAAGAAATCAATTTTTATCCAAGAACTGATCGAAACCAGAGTTGGGTGCATCTCGAAAAAGCCGAATCTGCATCTTACCGGATCGGATCTTAATATAATTTTATGTAAAAATGATTACAGTGAATTGATTTATCAATAATGTATTAGTTATTAAAATTAAATTGTATTAGTTAAATGAAATCGTGTTTCTGGCTTTCTTGGTTCTTATTGACGATGACGATGATGATTTGACGATATTGACGTTCTTATAAACGACGGTGAGCCCTAGTTAGTTCGGATGCTGAGAAAATTTGGAGATAAAACTATCAGATTGGATCGCGAATTTCTTGTTGAAACAATGGCATAAAAGAATATAGTATTTGTCAAAAAATACAGTCAAAATTAAGGCAAGAAATTGATTCCAAAAATGCGTGCATGGTGGCGCCCAAGCGACGGAAGTTGGCTCAGTGGCTGACGGCTCCATCTCCTTCACGGGTTCCAAAAAGGATTCCCAATCATTTCAGTCATTTCATCGCATATAGGCACCTTATTTCTTCTAATAGAAGCACATGCGCTTCTATTTTTCAATCCACCTCCTAAAATTGCTTTTACTGGAGACTTGTGCTTTAATTACATTAGCCGGAGTAATCGCTGTTCGTTTTGCATCGCTTCCAGGGCGATCAGACCCCTGGATCGATCAGAAACTGTGCCCAGAGTTTCATAACGTTGAATGGTTCGAGAAACGAGGCTTCTGGGAACATTCAGGCGCTTTGAGAGCTCGCTCGCCTGAACACGCTGCCGCTTGAGCTCAAGGATCGATTGTCGATGTCGATCGATGTGGAGACGCTTTCACCATCCCTGAATACAACGATACTAATGTATTGAAAGTTAGTAATCATACCATAAAATAAGAAAAATACACAAAAACTATAAAAACAAGTAAGCAAAAAGTGAAATGGGACTCATAAAATAATACGACGTTGTTGCGGTCAAGAAAGTGCGCGATCGTCTAAGATTAAACCCTAACCAATCGGCTCGAGGAATGGCACAGAAAATGGGTCTGAAGGGAAGCTCCGTCAACACCCTGTATAATAAATACGGTAACCGCGAAAGCATTTAACCGCATACAATTTGTGTTTTCTATGTGATATCTCTGTGTTATCTGTGTGTTTGTGCGTAGTAGTAGACATGAGTTATCGGTACGCTAACTAACAGTACGCTAACTAACAGTACGCTAACTAGCAGTACGCTAACTAGCAGTACGCTAACTAACAGTACGCTAACTAACAGTACGCTAACTAACAGTACGCTAACTAACAGTACGCTAACTAACAGTACGCTAACTAACAGTACGCTAACTAACAGTACGCTAACTAACAGTACGCTAACTAACAGTACGCTAACTAACAGTACGCTAAATGCATTTTAGCAAACGGCTTTTGTTTTCTAAAGCTAAAAATTCTAAAATCACATTCTATCCCGTTTTTAGAAAACGAAAATGAAACGAAAACGAAAAGAATGAAATTAGAATCTAATTTTTACAGGAGAGCAAAGCAAAAACAATTGCTGAGAGGGATCAAACAATGCATTGAGAAAGCACTGAGAGCACAATGCACTGAAAAAGCACTGGAGATCATTCGGATATCTTTCGACTCATCAACAAGCTTCGCGAATATGCAAGATGCAAGACAGACAACAAGAAGAAAGAATATTTGCAAACCGGCGTTAAAAAGACTTGTTTGGAGGGGTTTGATGCTGAACGTGATCTTTGCGAACTTTGCGGACTTTGCGAACGAATCTTTGCTGAGTTTTTTAAACCCTTTAGATTTTTTGAATGAAATTGCTAAGAGGCGGAGGACGGTAGGCGGAGGACGCGTTGTTGTTTGTTACAATTGTTGTTTGTTACAATTGTTGTTTGTTACAATTGCTGTTTGTTATAATTGTTGTTTGTTACAATTGCTGTTAATCCTTTTTCATATTTGATTTTGATTTACTGTTATAAATTTTATTCTTATTAGAATTCTATGTAGTTGTGATTTCATATTCCTTTTTTTTTAAAAAGCAAAAGCTGGAAGCCGTGTGAGCGTGGGCTGCGCCTCACAATCATAAATCATAAAGATTGGCCAACTTAGAAGAAAGTTATGGCGAGTTGCGCAAACGACCCTGTTGCGCCAAAAAAAATTGCGTAAATTAGCCTACCCCGAATTTTGATTGATTTATTAAATACCTATTAGGGTGATGCAAAAAAAACTACCGATTTGACGGTAAATTCAAAAAAAAGATGGCATTTGATGGTGACATGATCACAATGGAATATTTTCGCAAGATCTCGAGCAGATTGGCATGGATCCGCCTGAATAACGTCCCTCAGCTTGGCTTCGTTCACGACTTCTGGCTCATAATCTTCCAAAGCCTCGTCTCCCTCTCGGAATCGTTGAAACCAAGTCTGACACTGACTGAGAGACGAACTGCCAGAGACAAACATCTCCGAAAGCAGCACAGAGAGAACGATGCGATTCGGCAGCAGACTTTCCAATTTTGAAGTTAAACAGTAATGCTGCTCGTAGCACAAACTTTTGCTCGACCATGATCTAAATAAAAAATATAAGTCTTTTTAAATAAAATAAACAACAACCAAAAAATTCAAATGTCGAAATAAATAGCAAACAAATATGCGAATAAAACATAAAAAAAATAATGCCGTTAGCATCGCTCGTTTCTGATAAATGAGAGCTGATACCCATCGGCAGTTTCTTTTGCACCACCCTAATAGTACTGCGGTCTGAGCCATCAGAGCCATCAAAGCCATCAGAGCCATCAGAGCCATTAGAGCCATCAGAACCATCAGAGCCGCCATCAGAGCCGCCATCAGAGCCATCAGAGCCATCAGAGCCATCAGAGCCATCAGAGTCATCAGAACCATCAGAGCCATCAGAGCCATCAAAGCCGCCATCAGAGCCATCAAAGCCATCAGAGCCATCAGAGTCATCAGAGTCATCAGAGTCATCAGAACCATCAGAGCCATCAGAGCCATCAGAGCCATCAGAGCCATCAGAGCCATCAGAGCCATCAGAGCCATCAGAGCCATCAGAGCCATCAGAGCCATCAGAGCCATCAGAGCCATCAGAGCCATCAGAGTCATCAGAACCATCAGAGCCATCAGAGCCATCAAAGCCGCCATCAGAGCCATCAAAGCCATCAGAGCCATCAGAGTCATCAGAGTCATCAGAGTCATCAGAACCATCAGAGCCATCAGAGCCATCAGAGCCATCAGAGCCATCAGAGCCATCAGAGCCATTAGAGCCATCAGAGCCATCAGAGCCATCAGAGCCATCAGAGCCATTAGAGCCATTAGAGCCATCAGAGCCATCAAAGCCGCCATCAGAGCCATCAAAGCCATCAGAGCCATCAGAGCCGCCAGCTAAAAGTAGTACTACGCAGTACTAATTAGAGTAAATACGGTATTTTGTCTTTTTTACTTTAATAAATACAATAATTGGTCTTTCCTCATGCTAGACTTATTTCTCATGTTACAAGGCTTCCAAAATAATCTCCATTTTTCCAGTACAGATCAAATTTAGAGCCGAATCAATCTCTAAAAGACAGTCGATTTCAAAAATGATCTCTTCGCAAACAAAAGCTCGACTAAATTGGCTAAAAAAGACACGACTTTTTCAGAAAAAAATTTCCCTTGTTTCACTAGAAACAAAAAAAAAGAACAATGAGAATGATCTTGTCTTTGGAAAGCTGAATAAATGATGATTCTTAAAGATTTTTCTGGTATAAAAGAGGAAAATCTCGTCATTTCATCACTATTTCGACGAGTTTGGCCTAGGAAATTCCCGTCCGACACCGGAGAAGAAAAGAAAGAATGATGCTCGTTTCCGCTCAAATCACCGTCATCATTGTCGCCCTTTTTGGTACAGTTATTTCGAGTGAACATTTAGTTTTGTTTTAAAGCTTTCTTAGCTTAAAGTCTTTTAAAGATAAGATTTCTTAAAGCCTTTGCTATCGTTTTTGTCTTAAAGATAGAGAAGATAGATAACTTTTAAAGCTTTTAAAGCTTTCCTTGGAAGATTAGAAACATAATCGTTTTTTTTCAGTTGTTTATAAGCCTTTAGATTTCTTTAGTCTTTAGATTTTCTAGAAGAAACTAGACTTTCGAATTATGATTATCGATTTTTGATGAGATTTTTTCATGTACTTTTGTGTTAAAATAGAAACACAGCCTTTTTTCTAAAGTCTTTTAAAGCTTCAGCAAGTTAGAAAGGCTGTTTTTTCTATTTTAAGCCAAAAAGTATCAAACATTTTCATTTTCTCATCGAAATATTGGGTTGGTGAATTGAAAACTGAACTTTAACTGAACTTTGAACTAAAATTTATTCAACATAAAACCCTCAATTCATTCCAAATAATTTCCATTATTATTGACGACTTGTGCCCATTTACAGGCAATTTGCGGATTCCTCTTTCGTAGTAGGATTTTGGTTTGTGTGTGAGACAAGTGTGAGACTCAAAAAATGGAGGACTGGAGAGGAGGATGGAGGACTTCCAGTTTGAGCACTTTCTTCAAAAGAAACCCATTTTAGTGTCAATAGAAAAGTTGTAGAGAATCAAAAATTAGGCTTATAGCCAAATTTTCAAAAAGATACACTTCATAGTTTCGCTTAAAATGCAAGTTTTGTTGCAAATTTTGTGAAAATTCGTAAATTTCGCATTTCTTGAAAACCAGTTTTTGAATCGTTCTGAAAATTTGGATATAAGCTTGATTTTTGATTCTCTACAACTTTTCCATTGACACCAAAATGGGTTTCTTTTGAAGAAAGTGCTCAAACTGTCACATATGACAATAGTCGGCAGCTTTCAATTCATCAACCCAATAAAAGTCTTTCTTTTTCGCTTCTAGGCGCTACCATATTGGAACCGTATTAGATTCAAAAATGAACCATTTTGGAACCGTATTGGAACCATATTGGAACCGTATCGGAACCGTATTGGAACCGTATTAGATCAAAAAAGGAACCGTATTGGAACCGTATTGGTACCGTACCGTATCGCTTTTCAATTCACCAACCCAATATATATCCATACCTCGAGGTGTACCCATACCTCGAGGTGTACCCATACCTCGAGGTGTACCCATACCTCGAGGTGTACCCATACCTCGAGGTGTACCCATACCTCGAGGTGTACCCATGAGGTTCTGTGCTAATTTTAGTGCTATTTTCCCCATAACTCGAGGCACACACATCACTACAATAATAGTTACAATGATTACAATAATTACAATAATTACAACAAGATTTAGCTTCTAAACCTTTGTTGAATTGTTGGCGTTGTTTTTAGTCAGAGTCACAGGCAGGTTCTGTCTGTCCGTCTGTCCATCCGTCTGTCCTTCACCATTATATTACCATTCTTTAGGTTCTGTCGGTTCTCAATGTACGGACGGTTCCGGAAAGTGAGTTGTTTAATCAAATTTTCTGAGTAAACTTTTTGTTTTAGATGCTCTGCATGGAATGGAAACGGATTTTGCAGCTCAAGCTACTATTCGACCGCGAAGAAAGTTGAATATTGTGCCGCAACGTGTGAGTTGTTGAAGAGAAAATATAAAATGCAAGACTCACGCTCTTAAATGATTTAGATTACGTAAAAATATTAGTAAATCTATTAGCTAACTAAGGAGAAACAAATTTTGAGCCAAATTTTGAGCTAAATTTGATTCCAGGCGGTCTGTGCAGTCTTGTCAGCAGTACCGTAGCCACAACCACTACGAATTGCTCGACCGATGCGTATCCTACTTTGTAAGTCGAAAATTTCGATGAATGAAAGTTTATGAGTTCTTTTTATGATATCAAAATCGTTTCCAGGTGCGCTAAATGGGTGGCAAGCGGCTTTTGCACCAATTCTTTCTACACAACAGCTCAACGAGCTCAATTTTGCTGTGCTTCGTGTAAGTTACAGTCGGAATTGGTTCTGACTCTAATCCAAGCTGAATAATATCTCTGAGTTTGTCTAGAGTTGCTTTGTGATGCTATTTCAGTGATCAATACTAGTATTCTAGAGTAAGTAAGTCTAGAGTAAGTAGGTCTAGAGTAAGTAAGTCTAGAGTAAGCAAACCCTAAGCAGGAAGTGCAGGGAAGTGTCTTGGACTTTAGAGATTTAGAAAGATTTCAAAACGTTTGAAGGTTTCAAGACGTTAAGAACCGTTTCAAGACGTTAAGAACCGTTGCAAGACGTTAAGAACCGTTGCAAGACGTTAAGAAACGTTGCAAGACGTTAAGAACCGTTTCAAGACGCTAAAAAAACGTTTCAAGACGTTAAGAACCGTTGCAAGACGTTAAGAACCGTTTCAAGACGTTAAGAAACGTTGCAAGACGTTAAGAACCGTTGCAAGACGTTAAGAACCGTTGCAAGACGTTAAGAACCGTTGCAAGACGTTAAGAACCGTTTCAAGACTTTTCACTAACCTAATAATGTTTGGGTTTATGCATTTCGTGTCGACAGCTTACCGTAATTCCTTAGCTTACTGTAACAGCTGTATTCCATTGATTGATTCCATTGATTCCATTTCAACGTCCAACTTTTAGGCGGAATTTCCTCGTCAACGACCTGCTCTGACACGAACGTAAAGTATGTATTTAACTTTTTTTATCTTGTGATAACTGACTAACTCTCTAACTGACTTGTTGCAGAAAGCTGGTGCGTCTAATTGTAGTGTAGCAACAAAGGAGAAGCTTATCTTGTGTACATGTTGCCGTACTAGCTGCGCTGGGCGTCCGCTACGCGGCCACACGGAGAAATTGTTCTATGGCACCCATCGAAATTATTCTAGTTTTAAATCTCGTACAAAATGATACATTAACCATGAAAATCGATGCACTGGGGGATTTCTAGGGTCAGAGTACGCAATACTACTGTTTCCGTTGGCCGTAGAAAAAATCTGACCTTAACGGGGACCCGGAAAACCTATAAGGGTGTTGTTTTTGGAGCTCTAGCTTCTCCCGTTCTCGAGATACGCAACGTAAGGGACGGACGGATAGACAGACGGATAGACAGACGGACGGACAGACGGATGGATAGACGGATAGACAGACAGACGGACGGACAGACAGACGGATAGACAGACCGACGGACGGACAGACAGACGGATGGACAGACAGACGGACAGGCAGACGGACGGACAGACAGACGGACGGACTGACGGATGGATAGACGGATAGACAGACAGACAGACGGACAGACAGACGGATAGACAGACAGACGGACGGACAGACAGACGGATAGACAGACAGACGGACAGACATACGGATAGACAGGCAGACGGACGGACAGACAGACGGACGGACAGACGGATGGATAGACGGATAGACAGACAGACGGACGGACAGACAGACGGATAGACAGACAGACGGACGGACAGACGGATGGACAGACAGACGAACAGACAGACGGACGAAAGGACAGACAGACGGACGGACGGATGGATAGACAGACGGACGGACGGGCAGACGAACAAGACGGACGGACGGACAGACGGGCAGACGGACAGACAGACGGATGGACAGACAGACGAACAGACAGACGGACGAAAGGGACAGACAGACGGACGGACGGATGGATAGACAGACGGACGGACGGGCAGACGAACAAGACGGACGGACGGACAGACGGGCAGACGGACAGACAGACGGATGGACAGACAGACGAACAGACAGACGGACGAAAGGACAGACAGACGGACGGACGGATGGATAGACAGACGGACGGACGGGCAGACGAACAAGACGGACGGACGGACAGACGGGCAGACGGACAGACAGACGGATGGACAGACAGACGAACAGACAGACGGACGAAAGGACAGACAGACGGACGGACGGACAGACAACCCTCAATTATATATAGTAGATGTAGTTGAAGTTGTGGTGTCTTGTAGCAGTAGAATATTGTCTTATCCTTTAGTTGAATCTTAATCTTATCCTTTAGTCAAAAATATCCCCAAAATGCTATCTTTAGCTGTGCCCAATGGGTGGCCGATGGTTTCTGCACAAACACCGCCTACAACTCTACGACTCGTGCTCTACACTGCGCGTCATCATGTGAGTTGACTTTTAGAAAGCTCTGGTTTTTATTAACCACAAAAAATTTCAGGCAACTTGTGCAGCACATCGACAGGATCAACGACAACAACGACAACGAGTACAACCACCACTACAACAACTACCACCACCACCACCACCACCACAACAACAACAACAACCCCAGCCCCCTGATCCATCTCGTTAAGAACTCGAAATTGTTGGTCTTTGTCTTGTACATTTGTGTATTGTCAAATAAATGTCGAAAACCTAACAAAATAAGGGAAAAGAAAAGGGGAAAATGGTTTTGTAAGACCTTGAAATTATACAAGAACGTTTTGTCAAGGATTACTTTGTTTAAACTTTAAAATCGGCTTCCTTCCGGGTTCTGGAATCCGGAATCTAGACGTCTAAAATAGTTAGAATTGTCAGCAATCTCAGCAAGGTGTATCCTAAGTACTTACTGGTACTTACTAAGCCAGTACTTACTGGCAATTTTTTATTTACTTCTACTAAATTGATGCAAAAGAAATTTCACCTTTTTACAAAACATTAAATTCAATCAAAATTCGTTTTGGGTAATAATTTATTGGGTAACAATTTATTCCAAACAATAAGCACCATCGTTTTCTATAAAATCTTTTCAATGTTGCTTTAGATTACAGATTACAGGGCCTAGCCTGGCTTGGCTTATACTTCTGCCTTGGCTCTAGCATGTCCTTGCTTTGCATGTAGCCGAATCTGACTTTACTAGATTGATGCAAAAAGAAATTTCGCCTTTTACAAACATTAAATTCAATTAAAATTACTTTTGGGTAACAATTTCTTCCAAACAATAATCCGGTTGAACACAATACAATTTCAATTTCTAAACAACAACAAACATCGTTATCTATAACATCCCTCCAACGTTGCTTTAGTTTGCAGAGCTTCTTGTCGAAGAGCTCTTGATTCTGTGATTCTGTGATCACCCAAATCTCGATCTCTTGCACATTCTTAAACTGGCAATTCGCAAGGGAATGTTGCATCGATTTGAAGAGATGAAAATCAGATGATGAAAAGTCTGGACTATATGGTTCATGCGGTAAAACATTTCAGCCATTCCGCACGTGTGACTGACTGGTTAAGTGTCTTTTATCTTAATCGGGGAAGGTCGAGGGTTCGAACCCCACATGCGACATGGTCACCCCCTTCGGATTTCCTTTCCCTTCGGGTTGAGAGGTTTTCTGGAGGGCAGTCTGGTGGTTGTGGCCCCAGTTCTTTAAAGTGACAAGCCACTCCTTCATCGTCATCTTCCCTTCACCACCAAAAAAGCTATTTAGTTCCCCCATTGAGCTTTTAGGGTTAGGAGCCGTCTGTCATGACGTGGGTTGCTAAGATATAGCCTAGTATTGTGTGTGTTGTTGTATTGTGATTGATATATTTCGTGTATGCGATAAATTCACCACTGGTAGCCCCAGTCGGTATTTTTTATTGCCTCTAACTTCATAAAAGAAGCTTTCTTTGTTTATATGTTCATACAAAAGCTTTGTTTATACAAGAAGTTCATACGTCCTTTCGATTATTTCCAAATGGCGGACAATTGTTGATTGAGATGTCGGCAAGCTCTGGTGTTGTTTGTATTGAATCGGCTTCATTGAAGCTGCACTAAGTCGTTCTAATTCATTATTATCGACCGCTGCCGAGCGATGCCCATGTGTTTCGTCTTTCAGAGTTTCAATGCCTTCTCGGAATCGGGCAAACCAGTGCTGGCAGGATCTTTCAGTCATAACTTGTTCTCCAAAAGTGGAACAGAGATCACGAGGTGATTCGACAGCGTCTTTGCTCATCTTGAAATCGTAGAGAAGTCTCTGCATGCGGTAAGACCATTCATCCTAATTCCTCTAGCTCCATAAAAGAAGCTTGCCGGGTGAGCTTGATACTGAAGAGAGATATGACATTGAGAATTAATTGACAGTCGAGGGATTTAAACCCCTTTCGACGGAAATTTGGTCAACCTTCTTGAGCTGTTGAATAAAACAAGGTAAATAAAACAATATCAACCGTTTATCAAACGGTAAAACAATATCAATCGTTTTCCTGCCCCTAACAATTCGAAATAAACAATTCCGTCGAGATCCCACCTAGCAAGACAACAAAGCACCTTGGAGTTGGAATTGCTGAGCCATTGTCTTTTCGAGAAGTGTTATTCGATTGGTAATAACTAACTGGGACAGCTCAACACCAAATTATTGGAGTTTACAGTTATTGCTACGGTAAAGGGAAAGGCCGGGGCACGTATAAAAGGTGTCCCACCGTCCCCCTTTCCCATCATCAATCTAACTCTAAGCTCGGGGTATCCTGGTGTTGGGCTAGTTCCTCAATTTAAATAGTTTTATACCACTCGACAGAGAAAAAGACTTGGCGAATCTCAATGATACCAAGAAGCTTTAAATTGGACAGCAGCCCAACACCAAAGATATTTTGGGTTCAAAGTTAGATTGCCAATGGCCTCAAATTGAGCTTAAGTATCTTGGTGTTGAGCTGTTCAATTGCAATAGCTTTGTACCATCTGGACAGAGAAAGACTTAGCGAATCTAATGATACCAAGAAGCTTTAAATTGGACAGCCCAACACCAAGATATTTGGTTCAAAGTTGGGGATTGCTAATGGAAAAGGAGCGGGGCGCTTATCAAATGTTCGATAACCTACCTCGCCACCGTGGACGACTTTTCTAAACACTTTGACATCATGTTTGGCTAAAAATGACCATTGCTTTGAATTTCATTGTTAATTTGTTGTTCATTCTTAGATCAAATAAAAGCTTGTAAAAGAAAAGGTCCTCTTTTTAAAGTTTAATTTTTGTCTATCTACAAAGCTTTTTATCTGGCACCTATAATTATGAAGCACCGAGTAGATACTTTGGTAATAAAACGACTGCAAATGCTTGCTTGTCGCTCTGTAGAATGCCTTTGTACTGAGTTTTCTGCTACCTTGTAGAATTCCTTTACGGATTTCTTTGTAGCCAGTCTGTAGAATCTCTTACTGATTCCTCTGTAGCCACTCTGTAAAATCCCTTACTGATTTTTCTGTAACCACTCTGTAGAATCTCTTACTGATTCCTCTGTAGCCACTCTGTAAAATCCCTTACGGATTTCTTTTGTAGCCAGTTTTTGTAGAATTCTTTACCGATTTCTCTGTAGCCACCTGTAAAAATCCCCTTACTGATTTTTCTGTAACCACCTGTAGAATCCCCTTACTGAGTTCTCTGTAGCCACTCTTGAGAATTCTTACTGATTTCCTCGGCTGATTTTCATTTCTCCCTTTTGTTACATTGTTCCATTCGATGCTGAAAGCAAAAACTTCGATTCCGTTTCAAAATTCTATAAAATTCTTGCCATTCTGCCGAATTCTGCTGAATGCGTGACTATTCTTGCAAGCAAATCTCTCAGAAATAGACAGTGTCAAAGAAAGAATTTCCGAAATCGATTGCTGGAGGCTTTGCTTGAAAGAGAAAGGGAAAGAGGTGGAAAGAAAATAGAAAAAGATAAGGACAAATATACGGACAAATCAAAAAGGCAAAAGGGGAATTGGAAAGCAAAAAGTGTTCAGTATTGAATATTGATTTTCCAACGTCAGTGTTGCAAAATTTTGGCACTGATTGGGACTTTTTATTCTTCGGGTTTGCTATTTGTTTTGTTTAGCTTCTTGCTTACTTCATACGTTCTAAAACTCTATAATTTCTTTAGAAAATCTTTTTTTGAACTATCATAAATAAATTTCTCTTTTTCTTTCTTTCTCTTTGAAGTGGATTGCCATTGTTCACCAGGGCAACGCCTAATGATCTATTTTTCTTTTCTCAAATGAACTTTAAACTTGAAAACAAGTTTATCAAGTCTAAAGTCTCTATCTGAAGCCTTTTAACTTTGTTCTTGTTTTAGTTCTTGTTCGAGTTCTTGTTCTAGCTCCCAGTTCTAGTTCTAGCCCCCAGTTCCTTTGTTCTTTTGTTCTTGTTCCTTGTGCTTGTTCTGTTCTCGCTTGTTCTAGTTCTTGCTCCCAGTTCTCAGTTCTTGTTCCCAGTTCATGCTCCCAGTTCCTAGCTCCCAGCTCCAGTTCTTGCCTGTTCTTGTTCTTGCTCTTGTGCTTGTTCCTGTTCTTGCGCCTGTTCTAGTTCTTGTTCTGTAGTTCTTGTTCTAGTTCTAGCCCTGAAGTTCTTGTTCTGTCCATGTTCCCAGTTCTAGTTCTAGTCTCTAGTCCTTGGCCCTTAGTTCTTGTCTCCAGTTCTCGTAGTCTCAGTTCTTGTTCCTGTCCACAAGTTCTTGCTCTTTGCTCTTGTTCATGCCCTAGTTCTAGTCTCCTGTCTCCGCTCTATGCCCTTGTTCTAGTCTCCGGTTCTTGTCCATGTTCCCAGTTCCTTGTCTCCTTGTTCTGTTCTGTCCATGTTCCAGTTCTTGTTCTTGTTCTTCTTTTCTAGTTCTTAGTTCCTTGGTCCATGCCCTGGTTCCCAGTTCTTCTTCTTCTTCTCTTCTTCCTTCTTCTTTTCCTCTTTCCATGCACTTTATGCTCAAAATGCCCAGTCCTCTTCTATCTTCTGTATCTTTTCATTTTCTTAGTTTATATCCATTTTAAGCCTAAATTCTAAAGCAGAAAATCAGATTCCTTTCTCTTCAAAAGCTAAGTATTCTACAACAAGACAATTAGATTCAAAAACTCGTTTAGAAACAATAATAAACACGGCGGTAAATGCCCTTGCTTCTGGATTGGCAGGAAGCTGTGACTTACCAAGAAAAAAGAGAAAAAGAGAACAGACAGCGGGGATGACAATCTCTCACTACTTTTATTCAGGCTCTCCCTCTGGCTGGGCTTTACTTCTCAAAACAACCCATAAGACTGACTAATTCTTCATGAATCAACCTCAACAAATTCTTGACTCATTGGTATAAATACGAAGCTATTCGAGACTATTACTGGAAACAAAACGATGCTATTTCTTCCAATCAGCCGCCAAAAACCAGTCTTCTGGTCCACAGCATCAAAGGTAAGTCTTCAAACAGTAATATCAGAAGAAGCACATATCCTCCTAAATCGGGGCCGTCTCTCCTCCTCTCCTGTCGGGCTAAGGTACCAAACAGCTCAATGGTTAGGAGGAATTTCCAGCTGCAAGCTCAGCAAAAGGTCCAGGGTTCAATCCCCATCGAGAAATCTACTTATCT